GGGAGCGGCCACGGCACTCCAGTCTGGGCGACAGAGTGAGACTCCAACTCAAAAAAAAACTTGAACGTAAACCGGACTTGGTGGCTCAGCTTGTAATCCCAGCACTTTTGGAGGCTGAGGCAAGAGGATTGCCTGAGCCCACAGGTTCGAGACCAGTCGGGTGACATGGTGAGAACTTGAATCTACAATAAATCACAATATTAGCCAGGTACGGTAGCACACATCTGTAGTCCCGGCTACTTGGAAGGTTGAGGCAGAAGGATCGCCGGAGCCCAGCAGGTCGACGCTGGGATGGCCGTGAGTGTGCCACTGCACTCCAGCCTGTGTGACAGAGTGAGACTCCAAATCAAAACAAACAAACAAGCAAACAAACAAAAAACTTGAGTCTTCCCTTTGTTCTCAGGAGCCCTCTCCATGGAACAACACGGAAGTGTGTCCCAGGCTGCAGTCCTTGACCCAATTACACTCTCTGTATTAATTTTGCCTTAGCATCTTCCTTTTGGGTTGACATTTTAATAATCATTCATACTATGTGTATGAATGAGTTTTGAGCTCCACAGACAGCATGAGGACCTAAATATAGGTGAACTACAATCGCTAATTTCAAGGGGTTAATCCAGGTGGAATGATAAGACCTTTGCACAAAATAACTAAGACATAAGGTAAATGAGATAAATGCCTTAAGAGCTGACAAATGATATGTGATGTGGGTTAGAGGGATGGGGTGGGGGGAGAGAGAGATTATCTCCAGTCAGGGAAAGACAAAGAAAGACTTCACTGAAGAAACTGAAACTTAAAGAGTGGAAAACCTTTGGGCACCAAGTGAAATGGGCAGGAGGCTGGGTACAGTGACTCACATGTCTGCAATCCCAACACTTTGGGAGGCTAAGGTGGGAGGATTGCTTGAGCCTAGGAGTCTGAGACCAGCCTAGGCAACATAGTGAGGCATAGTTGCTACAAAAAAAATATTAGCTGCGTGTGGTGGCACACACCTGTAGTCCCAGCTACTTGGGAGGGTAAGGTGGTAAGATCACCTGAGACAGAGTGACCCTGACTAGGAAAGAGAGAGAGAGAGAGAGAGAGAGAGAGAGAGAGAGAGAGATAGAGAGAGAGAAAGAGAAAGAAAGAAAATAAATGGGCAGGGAGGATAACCGAGCAGGGAAGTTGGCTGGGCTGCCATGCATGTGTATGCTCTGTACACGGGCACTGGGCTGAGGTAAGTGGGAGTTACCCCTACCCGAGGAAGGGTCACCCATATACAAGTGCCACATGGCCTAGCCAGGGTCCATGAAAGGAGCATTTCAGACAAAGGGCACAGCACAGACAAAGGCACTATGATGGTTAATTCTATGTGTTAACTTGATTAGGTCATGGTGTCTAGATATTTAATCAAACATTATTCTGGATGTTTCTATAAAGGTATGTCACGGATGAGATGAACATTTAAATCAGTGGACTTCAAGTAAAACAGGTTACCCTGAAGACCTTAGTAGAACACAGACTGACCTGCCTGAGCAGGAAGGAATCTGCCAGCAGGCTGCCTTTGGACTCGGGACTGCCACTCTTCCCTGGGTCTCCAGCCCACAAGCCTGCCTGGCAGATAGTGCATTTGCATCTCCACAGTCCCATGAGCTAATTCCTTAAAATAAATCAATATCTCTCTGTCTGCATGTCTCTCTCTGCCACACACATACATTCTGTTCATGTGTTTTAGGCAAATTTTCTAATTTGATCCTCACGATTATTCTGTGAGGAAGGGCTGGTAGTCCCCATTATAATTGAGGAAGTAAACACAGAGAGGCAAAGCAAGGTGTCCAAGGTTACAAGGCTAGCACAAGGCAGAGCAAGGAACTCAGGTCCATCTGGCTCCAAAGTCTTTTTTTTAATTTTTAGAGACAGGGACTCACTCTATCACCCAGGATAGAGTACGGTGGTGCAATCATGGCTTGCTGCAGCCTTGAGCTCCTGGGTTCAAGCAGTCCTTTTGCCTCACCTCTTGTGTAGCTGGGACTATAGGCACACACCACCGTGCTAATTTTTCAATTTTTTTTTTATAGAGATGGGGGTCTAGCTATGTTGCCTAGGCTGGCCTCTAACTACTGAACTTAAGCGATTCTCTCACCTCGGCCTCCTACAGCACTGGCATTATAGGCATGAATAACCACATCTGGCCTAAAGACTGGTTCTTTAAAAAGACTAAATAACATAGACAAACTTCTGCCAAGACTGATAAGAGATACTGAATGAAAATAAATACTGAATGAAAAGGAGAAATAACTACAGACATAATAGAGATTTAATAGTAATAGAAAAAATGGTAAAAAGAATATTAAGACCAGTTATACATTCATGAATTTGAAAACAAAGTACATGAATGACACACTAAAAAAGAAAACTACAAATAATACAACATCGTCAAGTAAAGTCCATCCTAGGAATGTAAAGAGGATTTAGTATCAGAAAATGTTTCTTTTTAATTTTAAATATTTATGGAGTCAAAGAGAAGGAAATAGCATATTATCTTAATAATTTTTTAAAAAGTATTTAATAAAGTTAGATCCCTTCTTGTGATTACAATTCTCAGAAAACTAATTCTCGGGGATCTTCCTTAATCTGATAAAGTTTACCTACTAAAAACCCAC